TCCTGGGCAGAGCGAGCAGGGGCTACTCCAGAACAGATCTGCAGAGCAGCCACGTGGTCCAGCTTCCAGACATTCGTCAGGCACTACAGGCTGGACCTTATGACTCAACAAGACCAGGCGTTTGGCAGGAAAGTCCTGCAGGCTGTGGTCCCACCCTGGGAGATAAGATTTGTCCTCACTGATCCTCTCGATGGCTGTCCTGGAAGATGACTGGGGAAAACATGAGTTGATTACCTGATAACTCTGTTTCCAGGAATCTTCCAGGACAGCCAGACCCCGCCCTTGGTGTGTATCCAGGTGGCATCCGAGGTTGGATGAAGGAGGGGATACTTTTGTGCATGGGGTAGCCTTCGGTCCTAGAGGTTACTGACTTGGGATGGAAGGAGGAGTCTATTTATTTAATGTGGTTGATGTGTTTCCTGTTGCAGGCAGGCGGAGCCTATATCTCGATGGCTGTCCTGGAAGATTCCTGGAAACAGAGTTATCAGGTAATCAACTCATGTTTTCTTCTTCTTTTTTTTTTTTTATTCCGGAGTTAACTGTGTAGTAAATTTGTGACCACCTACTATGAATTGCTCTGAGATTCTTCATACTCTCCAGTGTATTGTATGAACTATTCTAGGGCAGGATTCATAGAGACGTCTCAGTTCTTACATGTACATTACAAGGCCTTATCTGTGTGCCATATTATACATGGATCCCCAGGGGCGTCGCGAGGCAGGAGCGGGTACTGGGTGACACCCCGCAGTGACAACATTGCGCATGTGTGTAACGACGTCACGTGATGTTACCTGCCGGCGGCCATCTTGGAGAGGGGACATTTACCAGGCGGGATAAGGTATGCCACCGGGTCCCCTCCTCTCTCGGGTAACTATCGGGCTCTCGGCCTTTGACCAAGTGCAAGACTTTTCAGAGGGGGTTTACAGTATAGTAGATCCCATCGCACTCCTGACCGGTTTTATCGAAGGTTGGGGGGTGCTGGAAGTGACCTATGATATTTTTGTCTGCCTGTCTCCACCATTGAAATGTAAAAGGCCCCAATTACTCAGCCCTGTTACCCACTGGAAACCTAATTCAGACTGGACTGGATTATTGAATAAAGCATACTGGTTGGTGTCGCATAGACGTCTTAATGTGCATGGTGCTGCACCTACAAGGGGGAGGGAATAACCCCAATATGTTCCCGGTGTAGAAGATGTTATAGATTGGAGTACTGACCTTTTGGCTTCTCACATATTTACACAAAATCTGAGACCTCTGAGTGCCAGGAACTTTTTATATTGTGTAATTAATGACTCTCCCCATTGATCTCCTTCCTGCATGAATTCAGCACATACTATAGTCCATGTCAAATATATTCCACTAACATAGTCCAAGCAGTTCCTTTCCTAACACCCATAGACCGTGTCTGCAGACTCCTGTCTTTTATTTCCCAGAATTCCTGCAGAGCGGCAGCACGTTATGCCTGCGGATGTTCAGTAATCTGACTGACAGCTGTGAGACCGAGCTCTCCCTGGACCCCTTACACTACTACCAGGATATCGCAGTGCTCAGGGTAAGCTCGCCGCCTTCCCCTCCTGCCAGTGTTACAGGTCTAGTCGGTGGAATAAGGATACTTATAGCAAAGCCTGATGTCTGGGAGAGTAATGACACTTACAACTAGGGATGCACCGATACTAGTACTCGCTCAAATGCTCCGATACCTTCCCCGATACCAGAACATCCGGTCAGAAGAAGATTTCCTCTGACCGTCAGTGCCGTAGGGGAACATGAAGCCAGCTTTCCGTGCGATCAGGAAGCTGAGCGGCGACTAATGACGCGGCTTCCAGATTGGCCGGCGTCTCGGCCGATCAGCATCAAGCCTGCTTCCCGGCCAATCAGGAAACTTGGAGGTGGGTCATTACTCATTGCCCGGCTTCCTGGCTCCATGCTGATTGTGCTTAGCTGGGAAACCGGCTTCCCAGCAAATCAAGTCGGCCAGACAACATGGAGCCAGCTTCTCGGGCAATTAGATTGCCTGGGAAGCCGGCTGCATGCCAGCGGAAGTACCGGTATCGGTACTCGGTATAGACGAGTACCGAAAGCAAAGTTTTGTACTCGATACTGAAAAGCCGGTATCGGTGCATCACTACTTACAATCATTCCCCTGGTCTAAAATGTGTCCTTCTTAAAGTGCTGCTTCCTGACACACGTCTATACCCTGCATGTCACTTTGCAGACAACCGATGTTGATCTTGGAGCGGTAAAGTAGTCACCGTTTCAAGGTCGCTCTCATGATGGACTACAATCTCCTGTTTAGTTTACTCATTTGTACGGAGATTGTAGTCCATCCCGGGAGCAAGCTTGGAGCGGTGACTACTTTTACACCACACACCGGGACCATGGGGAATACAAGTAGCCCCCCTCCAGAAGGAAGGACAGTGTCGGCACCAACTCAGAGATGATTGGAGGATCTGCAGCCGAGTGATACACAAATAAGATACATTGAGGGGAATTTATCAAAACTGGAGCAGACAGAATCTGGTGCAGTTGCCCATAGTAACCAATTAGCTTCTCTCTTCCACTAGTTCAGTCAAGCTTTGAAAATAAAAGATAGAAGCTGATTGGTTGCCGTGGGTAACTGATCCAGATTCTGCCTGCTCCAGTTTTGATACATTCCCCTCTGGAATGTATTTTTAGGATTTAATTCCTGAGTTTGGTGTCACTTTAAATATCTGCATAGCGCTGACTATGAATATTCTGTTTCGGGAATTGTGATATTGAATGTCCTTCTCTCTTCCATAAAGGTGCCGCCAGATGTCTCCGGTCAGGGAGCCAGTACGGTAAGAGGAAGAGGAGGATGGATGGGACACGGGATGTAATGAGGAATCAGACCAGTCACATGTTCATCCTTTCCCTCTATAGGTCCCAGTCAGCAGCTCGGTGACAGCCAGGCCTGTTGTGCAGGGAGATCAGTGTAACAACGTTGTGTCCCAGGTAATAATATAGAATGTTATCGTCTATAGAGCCGGGGAATGTGCAATTATCACATTGGGCCATTTATACAGGTGAAACTCGAATAATTAGAATATCGTGCAAAAGTAATTGCAGTAATTGCTGCAAAAGGGGCCCAAACCAAGTACTGAGTACATATGCATGCTTGTACTTTTCAGAGGTCCGATATTGTTCTATGTACAATCCTTGTTTTATTGATTGCATGTAATATTCTCATTTTCTGAGATTGTGGATTTGGGGTTCTTGGGGTTTTCATGAGCTGTAAGCCATAATCATCACAATGATGACAAATCACGGCTTGAACTATCTTGCTTTGCATGTAATGAGTCTATCTCATATATTAGTTTCACCTTTTAAGTTGCATTAGTGAAATAAATGAACTTTGCACGATATTCTAATTATTTGAGTTTCACCTGTATAGCACCAACAATTCACACAGCACATTCACACAGCACATTCACACCAGTCCCTGACCTCAAGGATTTAAAAAATAAAATCCTTTTTCTTAGAAAATAACAAAGTTCTCCGTTTCCTTCAGGTGATATACACGGTGCTGTACAACGGAACTCAGGGCATCACCAATGTGAGCGTTGACTTTATACTCGGCAATGTGCCCACCACAAGTCCCAGCATTCAGCAGAACACCACCGTCATTTATAAGGTAGAGTGACACCTCACACTGTGTACACGTCACTTCCTGTGCCATCGATATGAAATGTTATGACCTGTTCCCCTGTGTGATGTCATTGTGCGTTGTTGATGATGTCATAACCCTCCTTGCAGCCCGTCACTTCGACCGCCGGCAGTTCTGTGCAGACTCGGAGTGGGAATCCCGGCTATCTCGTTGGATATCCTGTGCTGGCCAACACTGGACATGTATCCTAACTAAAGCCGTCAATCTATGCCAGGGGTAGGCGACCTCAGCACTGCAGCTGTGGTGGAACTACAAGTCCCATGAGGCATTGCAAGACTCTGACAGGGGCATGACTCCCAGGGGCAGATGCATGATGGGAATTGTGCAGAGGTAGCCTACCCATGCTCTATGTCAGGGGTAGCCAAACTCCGGCCCTCCAGCTGTGGTGAAACTACAAATCCCATGAAGCATTTCTCTTCTGGAGTCATGTCTGTGGCTGTGAGAATCTTGCAATACCTCATGGGATTTGTAGTTCCACCACAGCTGGAGGGCCGGAGTTTGGCTACCCCTGCTCTATGTAATGGGCCGAGACAAACTCTGTTCTTCTAGTTATTTCATGTTCTGAGGAGAAGGTGAACACACTGATCCTCAGCCATCTTTTTGCACATAGGCGTTCTTGTTACCCCGAGGCAGCCATATTGTTTCTCTTGTTCTGCTCTGTGGCGGATGAACAAGAGAAGCTGATTACTGTTAATGACTGACAGCGTCCTTCCTGCAGACTAGTTCATTGCTCTCTATGCGGAAGGAGAGGATGCCATGTGGCGCCCCCTTCTGGATCTCTAGTGTTTTGCATATCCTCCTTGACCCCCCAGCAGCTGATGCTACCCCGAGCTCTGGCCGGAGAGACGTGCTCCTCCAGTCCGGTCCAGTTTGGGATGAGCGCGTTGGGCGGCTGCACAATCCGGTAACGTCTCCTCATTTTACTCCACCTGAGGCTGGGGGGTTGGACACGTTTGCTGGGTGTCTCCTAATACTCTCCTCTCCCCCTCTTTTCTTCAGTGGAACAGCCCAGGAGTCATGCAGCTTTTTCCAGGATCGGGCATACCGAATCCTGCACGGGGGGGACGCACCGCACAGTCTGGCCATATACGGCAACGTCACAGGAGCACAGAGCAATGACTTGCCACAGATCATCTCTCAGAACTGCAGCGCTCAGGTACGCTCAGGGCTTTGCTAAGGTGCTCGGTGAGCCGTTATTAAAGAGAACCTGTAATATGGAATCTGACCTCCGGCTTTCCCTCCCGTCTTCTACCTGACCTCCGTCCTTCCCCTCAGTCCTCTACCTGACCTCCGTCCTTCCCTTCAGTCCTCTACCTGACCTCCAGCTTTCCCTCCCGTCTTCTACCTGACCTCCGTCCTTCCCTTCAGTCCTCTACCTGACCTCCGGCTTTCCCTCCCGTTTTCTACCTGACCTCTGTCCTTCCCTTCAGTCTTCTATCTGACCTCTATCCTTCCCTTCAGTCTTCTATCTGACCTCTATCCTTCCCTTCAGTCTTCTATCTGACCTCTATCCTTCCCTTCAGTCTTCTATCTGACCTCTATCCTTCCCTTCAGTCTTCTATCTGACCTCTATCCTTCCCTTCAGTCTTCTATCTGACCTCTATCCTTCCCTTCAGTCTTCTATCTGACCTCTATCCTTCCCTTCAGTCTTCTATCTGACCTCTATCCTTCCCTTCAGTCTTCTATCTGACCTCTATCCTTCCCTTCAGTCTTCTATCTGACCTCTATCCTTCCCTTCAGTCTTCTATCTGACCTCTATCCTTCCCTTCAGTCTTCTATCTGACCTCTATCCTTCCCTTCAGTCTTCTATCTGACCTCTATCCTTCCCTTCAGTCTTCTATCTGACCTCTATCCTTCCCTTCAGTCTTCTATCTGACCTCTATCCTTCCCTTCAGTCTTCTATCTGACCTCCGTCCTCCCCTTCAGTCTTGAACAGTTGTACCGGCTCCTCTCCTCTTCCTCTGATGTCACTGCACACTGCGAGCTCTTCACAATGTACATAAGAAGCTGCAGCAAGTCATATAGAGCCCGCCTCATTTCCTGGCTGGAGGCCGTCCAGCATCATATAGCCCAAGAGTAGACAACCTCCGGCCCTCCAGCTGTTGGGGAACTACAAATCCCATGAGGCACTGCAAGATTCTCCCAGCCACAGACATGACTCCCAGAGAATAAAATGGGGTTTGTAGTTTTACCACAGCTGGATGGCCGGAGTTTGCCCACCCCTGATCTAGGCCTTTCCACCCCGGCCTTACTCTTCCTGGCCCCTTTCATTCATGAAGGCTCAGCATCACATGGGGGTGTTACCTTGGGCAGTGTGCATGCAAATACAGCCTGCCTAGGAACTCTCACTCCTTCATTATAACATTTGTATAACTACTGCACTGGTTGCATTGAGGGCTCTGGAGAGGAGTACTGAGGACGGGGCGCTGTGATGTTTTCAGGAAGCTATGCACAGCACTCTGCCAGCCCCTCCCACCAGCCGTGATCTGCCTGCATTGCACAGAGAAGCACAGAGACCCGGTGATGACATCACTGGGTATAAAATAAGATATGTCATGAAAACGGAAAGGTTTTCTAATAATTTTCTTAGCACGGTGACGACGGGGGAGGGACCACAGAAGACAAAATCTAAGCAGCCTCAGCTTTCAAGTGAGCGTCCTGCCTTAGCACAGTTGTCACGTGATGTTTGCTGTCCCCTTTATTAGCGTCTTCCATCTCCCTCCTGGAATTGGTTTTTGCTTTGTTACTGACGTCTGACTTCATGGCTAAGCCTTCCCTTCTGTCCAATGAGACGGCCTCTCCGGCCGAGGTAGACCAATGGCTCTCTCACAGTCTTGGTGGTTTGTTGAATTGTACATCAAAATCGGGCACAGGCAGCTCCTAAACCTCCTGGAGGGTATTGGGGTGTCCAGGACACTGGAGTACCATTAAGGTGGGGAATCTGTTCTTGTATTAACAATAGCGTGCCAACACGTGTCCGGGGTTACTGAACCCGCTTCTTCAGGGCTCTCATGTATAAAAACACAATCAGATGTACATTGAGGGTAAGATATGGCCGGTGCGGGCGCTCTTATTCCACCGCTTAGTAATGAAATGCTGAGATACCTTTGTGTCCTCACTCCTGCCTTGGTGCGGAGGTCCCGCTCGCTCGCTGCTGCCGCCGCGGAGGTCATATATGGGCAAGAGTCGGGCTCATCTCTAACCCTCAGGCTCAGCTGCTGCATGCCCGTTTCATCTACACGTGCCAGTCTGTCAAGGTAAGTCTGATGAACATTTCACTAAAAGCCAACAAGACCCCCTTAAACAAGAACTCTGGGCATATTAAAAATGAACCCATGCAGTGGGACGACCCCCCCGCATTACAAGGCTTAGGTGCTTATTTTGGTCCAGGGCTGAAATAAAAAAAAAAAAGATATACTCATCCGATCCTCAGCGCCACCTCGGTGCTAGACCGCTAGCATTTTCCCTGAATCTGCAAAGTTACATATTTTCTTTATGCTTTGGGAGACTTCAGGAGCCCAAATGATCATCATTAGAATGAAATCAGATTCTGATGGAGTTCTCCGAGCTGGAGATGCCGGGGCAGTTCTTATTATTTGTGACGCTTTGTGACAAGGAATTCCAATCTTAGATCTTACAATGACTCCGGGGCGGAGGTGAGCTGGTCTCCCTCCTATCACCGCGCCAGGGAGAGGTAGGTGTATCGCGCGTATGATATTCTGGAGAGTGCCGGAATACTGTCCAGTAACGCCCGGTATTACAGAACCATGCGAGGTCTTCTAGGAGCATGAGCGCATTGCTTCAGGCGGCTCATGCATGGGCAGGGAAAGCCGGGTCTGGTTGCTTTTAAGAGATGGATCAGAAGGGCTCCATTTTGTGGAGAAGACAAGAAGCTGGATGGACTGGATTTAGTATTAGACCTGTGGCTTGGTCCATTCCCAGCTGTAAGAAACTAAACTATACTAGACTCCCATTATACAAACAATATGTGACATGGACACGTATCTATGGACACTGCATCCTTCATATTCTTATATCCCCGGCACAGGGTAGTTGGATCGCACGGGTATAGGTGACCAGCCAATGTCCGAGCTTTTATACCAACGCATGACATTTCCCTAACCATACATACACATATTACTGCTCCAGCCAGTCTTGCAGCGTGTACATACCGACCAGGATCCATCCCTTCCCGCAGTATCCCCATCCACACAGGCTGCACTTTATTTTTCAACAAGCTTTATTGCAAGGAGTGCCGACTCAAAGCCAGAATGTAGCACATAGTCCACCACCAGACCCTCTCCTACTCCTTGGATGCATTCCACCTCACTAGGGGCTTAGTAATGAAGGTCATGACTACTACTCTTTCACTCCTCTCCCTCGTAAGTGTATAGAGTCTGGCAGTGAATGATGTGCTACATTCTGGCTTTGTGATTCTGTACTACGTGCAATAAAGCTTTTTAGATATTAGGAAAAAACAATGGAAGTGCCGCCTGTTGGTATCTCCAGTACATTGGTGTTTGAGGGTAGGAGCGGCAGCTTGGATTTTCATACTACAGCGTTATTTCTAGGGATGCAGATATACTCGTACTCGCCCAAATGCTCCAATACCAGAACTTCCGGTCAGAGGGGAACATGGAGCCGGCCAATCAGGAAACAGGGAGGCAAGTCAGTATTCACTGCCCAGCTTCCTGATGGCCCAGGAAGCTGGCTCGATGCTGATTGGCTGGGAAGCCAGTTTCCCAGACAACATAGAGCCGGCTTCCTGGGCAATCAGGTAGCCGGGCGACATGTAGTGACATGCTGCCTGGATTCCTGATTTGCCCGGGAAGCTGACTCCATGCCAGTGGAAGCACCGTAATTGGCGAGTATCAAAAGCAAAGTATCAGCACCTGTTACCGAAAAACTAGTGTCGGTGCATCTCCAGTTCTTTCACCTGGATGTTTATGAATTCCCCCTTCCATTCTTAGTACATTGCCGCTGTGGAAAGGCATCTTGGGTTTAGGAAAGAAAGACCAAGCATTGTTTTTTTGGATTCCTAATCATTCAGCTATGTTTGTACCTCACCAGAATTCCCGTCTCAGCCAGGACTGTGTTCTGTACTTGCTCTCTGACATTTGGTTCCTCCATTTTGTTCCCTAGTGTGAGGACACGACGGTTCTGCAGGCTCGGGTCTCTTTCACGGATCTCACCAGACAGGGCCCGGCCCCTCGCTCCAGCCCTGGGATTAATGGAAAGGATCCAATGGATTTCTTCTTCCCATTTCAGACAAACACGGCTGTGATGAATGCCAGCTCTCTCCTCTTGTGTATGGTGCTGTGCTGCTGGCTGATCATGCAATAAGAAACTAGGCAGGGAATGAGAACCAAGGAGATTAATCATGCAGGAGCCTGTCCCAATATGATGACCCTACCAGAAAGAGAACATCTGCCGGCAAGTTCAATATCTGTGTGCCAAGCCAAACAAAACTTGTCAGCACCCTAGCTGCAGGACCATGAATGCGGCTCTATTAAGATCACTGTTACCATCATTTCCCCCAAAACTGACATGCAGTCTGAGTCAGTGGCAGCTTTCTGATAAAGGCAGGCCAGGCAGATGCTGACATGTACCTGACCATCAGCACTGACCCCCAGATCACTTATCAAGGTTCATTTCAGGTAACACGTCAGAATTAGGAAGGGGATTCATTAAAGGGACAGTCACCTAGCCCATGAAAGACAAAGTGACAGGATCTCCGCAAGGGGCATCTCCTCACCTGCCATATACTTACACTCTCTCACAGCTGCATGCTCCCCAGCCATCAAAAATACCCAGCACGCCTACGTATGGGGGTCCCGGGCCTATCAACCAACTTCTAGGCCAGAAATGGTCATGGCTGTGGAAGAGACATCACCACTCCCCCTGGGTTGCCGACCCAGGGGCCCAGCAGAGCACCCTAACTGTCCTGACTTTAATAGGGAAGGCCGGTGCAGTGTTGGTGAATGGCTTGCTACTATAATTTGATCCCATTTCATTTAAAATGAATTGTTTGGTCAATAAAGTAACATGCATGTTACTTATCAATGGTCTTCTCTTTATTGAGGGGACCATAGCCGGCCACCTTCTAAGAAAATGCCTCGTCTGTCTATGTTGTACCACTCAAAGCATTGAAACCAATTAAATCAGCAGAAAAGCTGTCCACATGGCAAGGTAAACAATGGCTGCCTTTTTAGGCCCCATTCGCACGTAGCGATTTATCGCACATTTTTGCAGCGAGAAGTCGCCAATGGAGCTGTCGCAAGTCGCTTCTACAGGACCCTTGCAGCAGATTTTGCTTTTTTTCTAATGGAGCCCGACGGAGGTCACGCTACCGTCGCCCCGAAAGTCACGCTATCCCGGCCACGCCGATCCGCTGCAAAAGGTATGTCGCTACATGTGAATGGGGCCTTAAAGAGCCTCCTCTACCTCCATCACCAGTGGCAGCCTTTATAATAGAAAAAGTTTCTAGTGGACTGGACCCATGCACACACGATTTGGCAGCTCAACTGCACAGTACTGTTTAATGGTTTTCTGATTTTGTACAAATAAATTATTTTTGTAATAAATTCTCAGAAGTGTTTTGTGTTTATTTGACTTTTGCACTGACGCATCGAGTTGGTTTATTAGAACAAATCCCTTTTGTCTGTACACAGGGGGTGGTAACCAAAGGCTGCAGAAAAAGCATAATATCTAGACATGTGCACCGGCAAAAAAAATAAATAAATTTGTTTTGATTCAGATTTTACATTATTTAATTTTTTGGGATTCGGGTCCGAAAGACAATTAGTTTCAGACAAACTTAGTGAACAGTAGTCTGTACGAATTGTCGATTTGTTCGTTGCATATGAAGAGTATTGTGACACCTCTGCTCACAGACTCGAAGGGCATTCGGGAGCTCCTGAATGCTAACTTGTATTTGACAGCTGACAATGTCAAATGGGCGGAGCAAACCATGACATCAGAGCTTGCTCCACCCATCTGTTTACTTTCAGGCTAAATGTCATTTTGCATCGTGTTCGGACGATGGTTGTGCAGCTGGCATGGTGTATTGTGATTGACGCTGGATTACATCAACGGAACCTTTTACTTTATTTTTTTATTAAAAGGATTGTCTAAAAGTTTGGTTTGTATATTTACTTCGAATTTGAACCCTTTAGTGAATGAGTAGCGGTACCCTACTCATTCACAAGTGGCAGCATCTGGGTGCCCCCTTAATTAACTGGGTACCCCCAATGCAAAAAAAAAACCTTGCACCCATGTCTCCA